GAGCATACAGTTCAGGAGGCCATGGCGGAACAGGCAGACTAGGAAGCCATGGTGGAGCAGAGATTTCAGGGAGCCATGGCGGAACAGGGAACTCAGGACGCCATGGCCGGACGGCCTCCGTGGCCTCGCCACTCGGCCCGGCCACTACGGATGGGCCCATACTACACCCCCCCAAAAAAAATCCTTGGGGAGAATACCGTCTTTCGAGGCCCTCCGTAGGCCTTACTCAGGAACAGTGGCCCTCCCTGGGCTTGACTTGGGGACTGGAGCTCTCCTTGGGCTGGACATAGGAACTAGAGCTCTCTCTTTGCTACACTCAGGCATTGGAGCCTTCTCTGTGCTGGACTCGGAGACTGGAGTCTTCTCTGGGCTAAACTCGGCGACAGGAGCCCTCACTGGGCTAAACTCGTGGACAGGAGCCCTCACTGGGCTAAACTCGGAGACAGGAGCCCTCCGTGGGCTATACTCGCATAGCATACAGTCCAGCAATAAGTGACTATATATATAACATTTGTCTACTAATTTTTATATATTTATTTTAATTTTAAAATACCCATTTAAACTGTATACAACATATTGTTTTGGTTTGTTACCATATGCATCCTGGTACCTGGTAATCACCAGCAATAGACAATAATGATCATAATAAAAAAATAAAAACATATAGAGCATGGGTTAGAGCATATTATTGATGACAGGATACCACATTCGGTAAGACATACGCAAAATTATCATCAAGATATTATCTGTAAGAAACTGTATAAATACTATCAAGATGGTTAGAATGCAACTTGGTTCCGCCATCTTGTGGGCAATTGTACCATGCCATTTTATTTATTTATTTGTTTTATTTTATTTATTTTTTTGGTATCTAGGGATTTAAAAATATCCATATAAAGGTATAATGTGTAACTATTATTTTTCATGATATAAAAATAATAAAACATGGTATGCTGTGTCATTTAAAAACAATATCTGAGGACTGTCAATGCTTTTATAAGTAACTTAATTCACAAGTTAATGTGTTAACATGTTAATTAGGTTAATTATCTGAACGTACTCCTCCTGAACTTTGTTAGTAAAACATAATATATTGTCAGCCTGTTTATACGTATCTATTCATACATAACATTTACAAGTAACACGTATGCACACAAAATGTGGGATAATACAAAATTAACTGAATAGTATTTCAAAAGGATGACTTTGTTGGATGGTCTGACATTCAAAAATCACTCAGGAAGGTCAAGACCTCTGTCTTGGGACAAGATAAAATCGCCATTGTTATGCAAGGAATAGGCATCTGAAACTAGTTACTGTTCATGCTAAGTTAATGTTTTTGTAATTGTTCATCAAACATAAGTATAGTTCTTTAATGGGATTTGTGCCTGTAATATTTCCACGTGGTTACTAAAGTGTACCATTTAAGTGGAAAGTGCTGCAAGGTAAATCGTGCACATCTGCTGATGTTGTTTTTGAACTAAACCAGTGTGAGAGAAGAGTATCTGTTTTCAGTGTTTTGTATGTAGCAGGTGGATATTTGGGGTGTGATGGCATGTATTTGACAACTCATGTTGCTAACGAGTATATAAGTGAAATTTGTTTTGTCACTGGTGTTTAAATTTATATTTCATGCGTTTTGCCTTCATTGTTTTTTGTGACAATATTATTATGGTAACATTTCACAATAAGGTCTCATTTGTTAACATTAGTTAATGCATTAGTTAACATGAATTAACAATGATCTTTGTTAATGTTAGGTAATATGCATTTTTCTTTGCTTGTTCATATTATTTCACAGCACATTAACTATTGTTAACATATACAACATTTGCTTTAAAAATGCAATTGCAACTGTTGAAATTAACATTGAGTATTGTTCATTGTTAGTTACAGTAATACCCATGTAGTTAACTAAAGTGTTACCCATATCGTGTCATTTCCTGTGATAAAGGAGTGATACGGGGAGAACAACAACACTATAAACTACATTTGCAGCAGCTGGAACTAATGACTTCAGTCAAATGATTCAATTCCAGGGCAATGATCATGGAATCATGTAAATGTTGAGCATAATAGTCATTATAATATAAAAAATAATCCTACCCCAAACCTCAAGCATGACTGCCTATAAAACAACTAAATAAATGTATGAAAATGTCATTAACCACAACATGTAGTTAAAATTGTTAATGCATTTGTGTGCTTCAGTTCACACTACATTATGAAAATCAAAAAGGGTGTTTTGAAGACTGACCAGCAGGTATGACAGTTTTTATTAATCAGTAAAAATGTGGGACAGATCAAGGCTGTAGTTTTCTGCCCATTTTAAGACCAATCATAATGCCACATTATTTTAATTACCTAAAATTTTCAGAGTCCCTTAATCTAAGGTGTTTGATTATCCGTGTAAAGTTGCTAAGCACAGTGTCCCATTTGTGTTCTGCCACACTTTTTGTGCATGTTACTCTTGCATCTTCTGATTTAAATATGTAAAAGTGTTTTTGTATTGTGTGTGCGTGTGTCTGTGTGTATGAAGCGTATGCATGAAGGAAATGGCCTGTGCATTAAATAACCCATGTACTTCTTGCATCTGTGGCTTTAATGTGTTCAATTTGGCTCAAAACACATTATTTCCACTTATTGCTTGCATAGCTGATGTAGGCAGTCAGGACCAGGAGAGAGAGGGAGAGAAAGAGAGGAGGAAAACCACATTAAGAGAAGAGCATTTTATCTCATTCAAGTAGCTACTTTAAATACAGTTATCACATATGTTCCATTTACTGTAACTGGACTGTTAACTGCTGTGATAGAACAGACTTTTCATATTCTGTGGTCATTAAGTTTTATTTGTTTTACACTGGCTAATTTTGTACCACCAATTATTTTTCTGCAACGAATTGGAAAACTGTCCTATCTCCGCATCTGTAACATGATGATATAATTATTTCTTGCATCATCATCATCATCCACTTCATGGTTAATGAAAGTGACTCAGAAAATCAGGACCCACCATCCGGGCTCTCACACATTTGATCACTATTATGTTGGTAGCCACAACATGTAGTTAAATTTGTTTAATGGTGTAGGAAACTATCAATCTCTCTTGTTTCTTTAGTGGTTAACCATTTTAAAAATGCATTTGTGCGTAAGATTCACATGCTTCAACTCACATTATGAAAATAGAAAAGGACCTTTTGAAGACTGACCAGCACTTATGATTGTTTTAAGAATGCAGCTGCTAAAAATGTGATTTAGATCAAGGCTGTAGATCTCTGAACATTTTAAAACAAACGTTTTAAGGGGTGTGCAACAAAGATATTATCTGTATGTTTATCTGTTGGAATCAACCAGAAGTGTCAAAACTAAATGAAACTCTAAAATGTTCCTTTTATAGTTTCAATATAGCAAATATGCCTTGAATGATTAATAGCATTTTGTATCCTTTTCAGCACAATCTTTGTTTAGAATAAAGCTAATGTATGATTCATCTCAGTGAAGCATTTGTTTTGAATATATGCACTAAACAGATTTGTTTTCTGACGCTCTCTGCAGGTTACATTAAAAAAAAACTTATATGATCTGGTATTAATGATACTCCAAATTGGACCTGGCTTCAGAAAGTCTGAAGGTTAAAACTGAAAAATGAAACATTAAACAGCATATAAATCAATAATGCTATCTTTCTGAATCTGATCCAGATGTTATCTATGAGAAAAATTTGATTTTCTCATCTATTTGTTTAAAATGTTGCTTTTTTTATGAAACTCACCCACATTCAAGCGTTGATTAAAAAAAAGAATGCACGAAGCTAGAATAAAACTTTTTCTGTTAAATTTTTGGTTTGTTTTACTTTGTTTAAAAGCAGGGACACTGTTCTTTCTCTTGACATAGTGCATGTTCAGATATTCATACAACAAAATATTCTGGGGGCCATGAAAGTTTTGTAAAAATGATTATAAAATGGAAAAAATTATGTTGTCTGGCAAAAAACAAAAACAACAACTTTTGAACCAGTCAATGATTCCTTCATTACAACTTTAATGCAAAATAAACTACTGTTTGATTTATTTGAGTGGCTTGATTTCAGTCAGTTAATGGTTCAAATTATTAACTGAATGAATCATAAAAAAAAAAAATAATAATAATAATAAAAAAAAATTCAGCCATTAAATCATTCACTCGTTTAGTCTTTTTCATAATCAATCTTTTTTTTTTTCATCCATAAAGAACTTCATTGAAAACCCATTCACAAATTATTAAACACCGCTGTGGCCTTTAACCTGAACTGTCTGCTTAAATCTGGTTAAATGATCTGTCACTAAAACAAATTCCTCGTATGACTGAACATACCTGGCAATAAAGCTCATTCTGATTCTGATTCTGACCTCAGTGTAACAGATGTGCTTATGATAGTGTGCTTACGATGAGCTGATTTCAAACTGTATTCAGGAATCAGTACACAAAGACCTATCTGTCAGAGTCATGTTAGTAAACCCTTGCAAAAGGTTGAGAAATGCCTCTCGTGAGTGAGATGAGTTTGACTCCAGCTTTCATCATGTAAAGAGGCAAAAAGTCTGAAAGGTAAAATTGAAGAAAAAAAAACGCTTTCAACCCAGAGAGACTGAACTTTCGCTCTTCAGGTGAATGCTACTTGAAACCCTACTTGAAAGCAACATTATTTAAATTAATACAATTAAAATGAGTAGAATTAAGTTGTTGTAGAATTAAGATTGTATTAAAATGACTTTCATGGTACATTTTGGAGTTCTTTCTTTCCACAGATCACAATTTGGTCAGTCGTACTTTTAAACAGTTTAGTTAGCATGATGTTTTCATGGCAACCACATACATTGCATGCGAATTACAGCTGCACTTCTATTTTGCCACACTAAACTTAGCAATAAACATGTTTAAAATGCACAATAAACATGTCTGTCAAAACGATCTCAAAGGAGGCTTTTATTAAGCAAATCAAGGAGTGAATTACTCATCCACTGTTTTTAAAACAGACATTTGTTGGGCTTGATTCAAGTTCATGCACAATGAGGCGCACACTTTCTATTTAGCCTTACTTAATAGATGATAAAAAGTTTATATTCTAAAATCAGTTTATAGGTTGTGTACTGTTAAAATTAAATAACATTTGGATGTAAATGGTCAGCATAAAAGTAGTGTGCCGCTAAAACGGCTGTGTCCTGTGGATCACCTTTATCTGATAGTCTGGGTCCAGAATCATCAAGCACCGCATTGATAGCTTCATTGGAGTTTTTCGTTGTCTCCAGATCTCTATGCAGTTCATGTACGTTGTTAAAAATGCGGAACATCATTTTATACCACACAACAGGCAAGCATTACCATAAAGTCTATTATCCACCAAAATGCAGACTTGTCACACAACAATTCTTACGCAAATGAGATTGAGGGAGATGTTAAGTTTGTTTTGATTTATTAATTTACTTACAATAACAATTTAAAATGTATTAACTTTTACTTATTTACTTTTACATATAGGCTATTATTAACTATATGCATATTTACTTCGTAGAAAAAAACTTAATAAAATTTTTTTTTTAAATCCTTAAATCGCTATGCCCCCCTCCTCCCCCCACACACACAAGCTATACGCCCAAGCTATACGTTTTATCTTATTCTAATAACTACTGTGAGCATGACCATCCCAAATGTTACATTCACTATCACTCTATTCCTTTTTATTTTGTGAAACAGATAAATTCAGATCCTTTGATCAATTAGTTATGCGTTTAATCCTGCTTGTTCTTTTTCTGCACACAACTGGAAAGTTCTCCTGCTTCTTTTCGCCAAAAACTGATAACTGATTGGCTGACAATGACCTCATCTGTGCATATCTGTTAAAAAATTGAGTTTACAGATGTTATTGCTTCAGTCAAATGACTCAATTCCAGGACAACGATCATGGAATCATGCAAACATTGTAGTCGTAATAATATAAATGATAATCCTACCCCAAACCTCAGGCATGACTGCCTGTAAAGCAACAGAATATATGTATGGAAATGTCAGTATGTTGTTAACCACAACATTGCATTTGTTTAATGCTGTAAGCAAATAGTAAGCTAGTTATTTCTCTAGCTGGCTAATACTGGCTAAACACATTTTTTTATGCCTTTGTGTGCTTCAATTCTCATTGACTATATTATGAAAATCTGAAAGGGCATTGACCAACCAGCATATGGCTATTTTGATTAAAGGTATAATTTGCCCAAAAATTAAAAATTGCTGAAAATGTACTGACCCTCAGACCATCAAGGATGTAGATGAGTTTGTTTCTTCATCAAAACAGATTTGAAGAAATTTAGCATTACATCACTTGCTCACCAATGGATCTTCAGCAGTGAATATGAGAGTCCAAACAGCTGATAAAAACATCCCAATAATCCACAAGTAATCCACACCACTCCGGTCCATCGGTTAACATCTTTTGAAGACAAAAGCTGCATGCTTGTAAGAAACATATCCATCATTAAGGCATTTTAACTTTAACAAATTACTTATTTCATGGGTTATTTAAAGTTTTGTTTTTACAATCACTAGGAAACATTTCTCAATACTTAGGTCATAAAAAAAAACACTCTCTCAAACCTATGTGAAAGTATAAATGGGCCTGTAAGTGTATTGAGCTGAATGTGAAAATAATTCATAAATGAAAGATTCATGTAATTCATGTAATTTAAAAGAATGGATTTTGTGCCAAAGCCCCAAATAGACTGCTGTTGTGCTCACTCTGTGAAGAGTTTTAAAAAAGTGACCCAAGTATTGAGAAATGGCTTAGTTACTGTAAAAAGAAATTCGGTTACACTTTATTTCGATAGTCCACTTTAGACATTCTACTAACTATAAGTAACTTTGTAATTACATGTCAACTACATGTCAACTAATTATCATTAATTTGCAACTACATGTCTACTAACTCTCAGAGTAGACTGTTAGGGTAGGTTTAGGGTTAGTAGAATAAGTTGACAAAGAAAGTGTTAGAAGATATTAAGCAAACAGTCTACTAATACTCTACTAACTGCTAGTTGACATGTAGTTGCAAAGTTACTTACTCTTAATAGAATGTCTAAAGTGGACTATCGAAATAAAGTGTTACCAGAAATTCTGTAAAATGTAACAAATTATGTACTGCATATGCGGCTTAAATTTGTTCAGTTTAGCTTCTGAAGCTGAGAACCTTTCTAAATGACCGTTTAGACTTATTGTTTGCATAGTTGATGTACTGTGTAATGTTTAAAATCATGCACACGTATATACAACAGCTGTGAAGGCCGACTATAAAACAGTAATGAGATTTATGTTCATTCAGAGAAGGAGCATTTACTCTTCAGGTGAAAAACTCATCTTTTAATTTGAATCATTTGCTTTTATTGTGATGTGTGATATTTAACAATGCCATTGTTTATGTAAATCATATTTTAAGGGTTATGAGGAGATTAGATAGATTTGTTATTGGATAAAATTAGACTTTTTTCCATTGAACAGAATTAACAGTTTACTTGAAAGTCCGCTTATTGTTTGAATTATTCTGTGAGCATTAGTCTACCTTCAGATACAATTTCAACTGGTTCTGATTTAATGTCCATGTAGTCTGACCATGTAGTCCATTGTACATTTATGTTTGTGTCTTTAGATCACAATCACAATTTTATTAATTTTGGAGTAAGAAGGTGAAAGTGCAGGACGCGATGAATAACGTCACCATACATCAGGCATCCACCAACCTCACAACATTTGATTTTTTTTTAAAAAGCATGGTAGAAATCTATGTGTCAGGTCTCCATTTCATATTTGCTCTTCTTATGCACTCCTGTGTCATACTGTTCATCATCACAGGAAGTGGAGTTGCATCTGAGATCTTCAACCTCAATCTCTCTGTTTGTGAGATCATGTTCTCTCTGAGTTCTTTATTATGTATATTGATAAAGGACATTTTATTCACACCATTACCAAAGCTTTCACCAGGACTGGCCTTCACTGGTCGTCCTCTGTTTCAGTGTCTGATTTGTGTTGAGCGTTACTTTGCAGTGATTCATCCTGTAACCTTTCTGAAGTACAAACCTCTCAGATACAGAGTGATCTGCTGCACTGTGGTCTGGATAATTGTTATTGGCTCCTGTTTGTTGTGCATGCTCTGTATAATGTCAAAAATGTTTTATATATATTCATGGTTTTTCTCTATGGAGTTGATATTCTTCCTCTTCATCCAGTTGTTCTGCTGTGTGGCTGTTCTCAGAGCTCTGAAACAATCAGGACCAGGAGAGAGAGGGAGAGAAAGAGAGGAGGAAAACCCCATAAAGAAAAGAGCATTTTATCTCATTCTGATAACTACAGTGAGCATGGTTTTCATGCATGTGCCATATACTATAAGTGGAATTTTCACTGCTCTGACACAATATTTTCCAGTTCTTTGGTTTTTTAGTTTTATTTGTTTTATGGTGGCTGGTTTTGTGCAGCCTGTTCTTTATCTGCACCGCACTGGGAGACTCTTTTGCCTTCCATCATAAAACCTGAAATTGTGTTGAGTCTGTAATCCAAGATTAATACAAGCTTCAATGGGACATGTTACTGAATTTGCACTGCATGGGTAATATGGCAAAAGAGTAAGAAGTAATCAGTTACAAACCAATAAAACAATATATAGTTTAAGAAAATGGCTTGTCAATATAATAAATATCCCATACGTGATAGATTATTGGACTTTGCATCTGTGGCTTAAATGTGTTACATTTAAGATCCTGTGTGGAGCATTATGGTTTTTGAAACTCATTATCTCCCCTTATTGTTTGTACAGCTGCTATTATGTGCATTGTAGAATATAAATTTGTGCACATACGCTTAATGACAGGTGTGAAGTCAGACTATAAAACAGCAGTGACATTTATTTCAATCCAGAGAGACTGGACATTCACTCGTCAGGTGACTTACTCTTCTTTTCAATTTGATTCATGTTCTTTTATTTCGCTGAGCGATGTAAACCAAACCCACTGTCATATTATAAGGGTTATGGGGAGCCTAAATGGATTGCTTATCAAATAAAAAGGGGCTGAGCTCTATTTTTCTTTATTGAATTGACACAACAGTTTATTTGAAACCAGTTACTCGCAATTGTATTATTATTTCAATTTGTTCTAATTTTTTTTTTCTCCTCAGATTTCCATATCAAGTCAGTCTAGAGATTTATGTTGATCCATAAAGACATTCAATCTTTAAACTTTTGATTCAGTTTTGCCTACACATTAACAACATCTTTGAGGTTCTATTGTCGTCAGCAAGTCCTGAGTTTCTTGATAAATACTGGAAGCTACAGTATACTGGAGATATCAATATGATGGTATGACAAAATGTTAGATTTTCCACAGATTTAGAATATAGACTTAACATTTTATCTTATAATTAAGGATTTTATGATTGTATGATACTTATATAATGTACTTTTATCAAGTAGTGTATTTTTTAGGTACTCGTCATTTAACACATTTTTATAGTGGTTGATGAGAAATATGCTGACAATAAACTGTCACAATTTTTCTTTTACCCTTACATTGCAATTCCACTAATGCATTAATGTGTTTAATATATTTATTTGTGCAATTGTGAACAGATGAATGACTCCACTGAGAACGTCTCTTCATCTAAAGATCATCTTTCTACCAACCTCACAACACATGAAGTTTCATCACTGGATGGTCTTCGGGTTGTTGTGCTGTGCTTTAATCTATTGTCTGGTGTTCCTACATACTCCTATGTCATGTGGCTTATTATCAGGGGAAAAAATGGAGTTGCGTCAGAGTTCTTCAACTTCAATCTCAATGTTTGTGAGATCGTTTTCTCTCTATCTGCTTTGACCTTTCTACTGTCACAGATGTTTCCAAGTTTTGTGCCAATGCAGAAGTTTTCACTCGGCCTCGTCATCACCGTTCGTCCTCTGTTTCAGTGTCTGATCTGTGTTGAGCGTTACCTGGCAGTGGTTCATCCTGTAACCTTTCTGAAGTACAAACCTCTCAGATATAGAGTGATCTGCTCTGTTTTTG